TTCGAAATTTAATTTTTCCCGAACAGAAATGTTCTGACCAAAAAGAAAAATCAAATCAAATGTTAAATGTACATACAAAAAATGATTATATCCTACAAATTTCTCTTTTTCTTCTTTTAGGCGTTGACTTCCTCAGACTCAATCACTTCGTCGCTAACTTTCCTACTATCAGAAGATGGCTCTGCTTTCTCCTCCTCTATTAAGCTCTTCTGCTCCAGCTCCTGCTTTAACCGTTTGATCTCACAATCTCTCTCATCTAGCTGCTCTTGCATGATACGCACCTGCAGTTGAAGATGCTTTAAATTCTGATTCTCATTCAAATGGTCTACTAACTGTGTAATAGATAAATTAGACAGCAGCATATCTTGAGCAATATTTTGAAACAAAGCAAAAGAAAAAACATTGAATAGTACATCTTTAAAACTATGATGAAGTATGTATATCCCTGTAAACTAATAAATAACAAAAGTTGAGGGAAGGGAAGAATACCATTTCATTTGATCTTTCAACGTCATTTGTGAGCCCCTCCATATGTTTGTGCAATCCTGTATGTAGAAACACAAAATATATTTATACAATGCCAAATAATATTGCGCAAGGGCAGTAGAAGTACCATCTAGCATATACATTTTACTAATCTGAGAGATATCTAAAATTTCACTTGATTTATCACTGACCTTCAAATTGACTTCTCAATTCTGCATTTTGGGATTTTTGCAAAGCAAGTTTCATAGATAATTCATGCATCTGCAGACCAACAATAGCAAATCATATAAACCAGATCATCAGTGTATAACATAACCAAACAGACGAGAACCTCCTAGTGAATAAGAGTGCATACATTTATTAGAAAACACGAGGACAGTTTATTTGTAAGCATGCATATATTAACGCATCAAAGATGTTTATGTTCGATTTGGTTCTAACAGCAACATACTTTTGTGCCAAAATCTGTATTATAATATCTTTAAAAAACACAAGATACTGAGGAGAAAATTATAGCTGAGGGTAAAATTAACACAAGATACTGAATGCATATAATAACATCTGAAATATTTTGGATGCAACAGCAGCACCTTTCCCTCAGAAGCTTCATTGCCTATCTCCTCATTTTCCTCTTGCAGGGTCCTACATTTAGCCATTAACTGCTTCCCCATCTTGCTTGTAGGAGTAAATTGAACAGCAGCAATGTTGTCATTCAACTCCTTCACCTTTTTCTCCTTCTCC